TGGTCAGGGAGGGCTTCCCAAATGACATTGCAATTAAGACTCAGTGACAAGAAGGAGCCAACCACACAGAGACCTGGTGAGGAGTCTTCTTGGCAAAGGGAATGGCGAAAGCCAAGAGACTGGGAGAGAAGCCCAGCACACCTGAATGGCTGGAGGAAGCCAGCACAGAGGAGGGCAATGGGCAGAGGGCAGCACAGGTCTGAAAGAGAGGTGGGGAGGTGCCCCTGCCCCACAGAAAGAACAAGGCTGCACCCCAGCTCCACTGATCCCAAATCACATGTCCTAAAGAAAATCAAGTCAAATGTCCACATGACTCAAAACTAAAACCAAACTCCTCCAGTGAAGGTAAATCAGAAAGACAAGGACTCATCCTTGTGAATGAAGAAATAGAGCTGGAAACCCTTAGCGTGCAACGCAGGCCCAGCACACGAGCTTGTTTGCTGAATGGATGCTGTGCAAAGACAATCTATCCCCACAGCGCACACAGGGAGTGCAGAGTTGCTCCCCAACCCTGGACTGCGGAGACTTCCAGGCTTGAGAGAGGGAAGTGAAGGTGAATCAAGGCTCATCTGATGCCACTATGCCGCTTACACACTTAAAGCACTCGACCCTAACAGAGGATGCAGGCTCGGAATTCAGAACTACGGACATACTTAGAGAAACACGGCATGATGCCAGGTGCATGATGGGTTCCTAAGGGAAACCAGGGCGGCCTGATTTTGAAATCTGACATCAGGAAGGTAAGTTGCCCCCTGCCAGAGTCAGAATCCAGGGCTGACCTGGGCCTGAGCTGTCTTCATGGGCTAAGCCAGTAATTTAAATTACACTCTGAAAAGGGAAATCAAACTTCAAGATAGGGAGGGGGCTGAGGAGGCACCCAGGGTCACGGCAAAGGCAAGGCCAGTGGTGAGGAGGGAAGTGTCACCGTGTAATTGATGGCATGGTGACTGCAAGCTTGTCTCGCCCCTGCTTCTGGAGACCAAGGCCTTGTCTCCCACGCCTGCCTCCCCAGACACACACAGCGTGTTTCTCGTGTGCACCAGGAGCACGGACGCCTGTCGAAGGAATGGGCCAGCAGGCAGCTGGGCACTGACCAAGCCATGAGGCCCCGACTGAGGTCCCCGGAGTTGGAGGCAGAGTGAGAAGGACAACACAACAGAAGCACATGGAAGACATGAACAGAAGCAGAGCATTTGTGAACCAGCCACACAAGGAAAAACCAAAGAGGGCTGGTGAGGAAATGTTTTTGAGAAACCCTGATCCAATATTTGAAGGGCTATCACATGGAAAAGGAGTTAGGTATGTTCTGTCAAAGCCCCAGAAGTCAACTTTTGGCAGAATTTAAGGAAGAACTTCTTCCCAGTGAAGTGTTCCCTAGATTGTGTTTCATGGGATAGTGGAATGTGAGCATTTAGGAGGTGGGGTACGCTAGGGGGTGGAGCACATTCCAATTTATTCCATAGGAAATAAGTTTGGGAACTGGGGTTAATCAAAGGCAAATGGATGTTCACAGTAAAGGATGCAGCTCTTAGCCCTTCTCAAACTTCTGTGTCTCAATGGCTTTTCATAGGATGCTATGAGCATCTCACACAATCTCTACATTCTAATCTCACCTCTGAGGAAAGAGAAATTAGAGTTGCCCAACAAAACATCATATGAAGAGGCCAGTGTCACATCAGCATCTGAGCACTTTCAGGACGCAGAATTCAGCGCTACGTAGGCGATGCAGATAGAGATGCAATCTGTTGATCTGAACAGAAAACTAGAACCAGGCATTCATTCTCCCATGGACTCATCCTGAATGACCGAGCAGCACATGAGGGTGCTGCAGACCAGCTTCCCCTTTCTGCCGTCCCACCAGCTGCCACTGCTGTCCAACCGAGGGGGGTTACGATGTTGCAAAGGGACCCCACAGGTGATCAACACTGTTGGGTGGGAGGCTTGACGACAGCACGAGCTCTTGCCAGAGCCCACTTTGACTCTTCTCATATGGTATTTTCTAGAGTATATTGCCTGTCTGCCTGCCTTCCTCATTCAGCCATCCATTCTATAGGCCTTCCAGAGCCTGGCAGTGGTGACTAAAACCAGACAAAGTGCTGCTCTATGACTGCCTATTGGGGAATACAGATAATGAACAAATATGCTACACAAATAATAATTTAATTAAGGTTTTCCATATATGTTACAAAGGAAATGAATGGTGCAAAACAGTAACTTAGGCAGAGACCTTTTCCAGTCAGGGGTTTTACCATGGGCTAAGGGAGCACAGAGACCACATTTTGCAGACCCCTAAGTGTGCAGGTCCAACACAAGTCTCTGTGACATTCTTTCAGGGAACCATAGCCCAGCAGGGTTGGGAAACACCACACAGGCCCATTCAGCACAGAAGCCTGCTCTCTAGCACATGCCTTAAGGACACTCTATTTGAGACTACAATTCAGTAGGTCTAGGCAGGTAACCAGGTGATTCGAATGCTACTGCTCTGCAGACCATATTTAAGTAGCACTACTCTATAAGGCATTTTTAAAAACTTAAATAAATGGAGAACTAGCTATACCATGTTCATGGACTCACTCATAAAGATGTCAAGTTTCCTCAAATTAACCTATAAGTTCAATAGATTTCTAATCAAATTCCCACAGAATTGTTTTGTTTATTGTTGGTGGTGGCATTGTTTAACCTAACAAGCTGATTCTGAAATTCATTTGGAAGACTAAAACAATTCTGAAAAAGAACAAAGAGACTTGAGAGATTTGCCTTACCAGCTAAAGGCTTAATATAAAACCATAGGTGTGGTATTAACACTGATATATAAAAAGGCCAATGGAACAGAATAAAGAGTCCCAAACCAGACCCATCCTTGCAGGAAAACTGTATGTAGAAGGTAGCATCACAAATTGGCCAGGAATGAATTATCAATAGGTACTCCTTTAAAAAATATGGTTAATTTTAAAAACTGGATTTCTATCTCATGCCATATTAAAAACATTAAATTCCAGACAGATTATATTCCTAAATGCAAACCAAAACTTTAAAACTCTTAGAAGAAAATACAGAAAATGTTTACAGTTTTGAGGTAGGGAAATATATCTTAAATAAGATACCAACTGTCCAAACCAAAAGGAAAAGATTAATAAATTTGACTTCAATAAAATTGAAACTTCTGTACACAACATATAAATAACAAAGAAAAGCCACACACTGGGAAAAGATAAGAATATCCAGAATGTAACAAGAATTCATATCTGTAAGAAAAGACGTACAATCCAAACAGGAAAGGATATGAACCTGAAGTTCATAGATGAAGAAATCAAACAGTGAAAAAACATACAAAGATGCTTAACCTCAAAAGTAATTAGAGAAATGCAAATTTAAAATAATGAGATATCATTTCATACCCATTACAATGGCAAAACAAAAACTGCCTAGACCAAGTACTATCCAGAATGTGGAGCAATAGAAATTCTCGCACACTCTCATTTGGAGTGTAAATTAGATCAATCCTTTGAGAAAGCAATTTTGCCTTACCTGATAAAACTGACAGCGGATGTACCCTGCGACCCAGCAATTCCACTCAAGAAAGCATGGACAAGACATTTACCCAGTGTGCCTACTGATAGTGGGAGATGGGCTACAGTCTAAATGCCCATCAAATGGCTCTGGAGAAATATAACGTAGACTATTCTACAATGAAACAGTCTATAGCGAAAAGAAAGAAAAGAATGACAGAAAGAAAAAACCAAAGCTACATGTACCAATATGAATACATCTCAAAATCAATATTGAGCAAAGAAACAAAGTTGTTATAAAAATGTAAGAATCGACACCATTAGTATAAAAATTTTAAATACTCAGGAAAGACCTCAGTGGTTTTGGGTACATATACATGTTAAAAACAAGTATAAAGATGTACATGAGAATAACAAACCACACTCAGCATGATGGCCTCTAGAAAGGGAAGGAAAAGAATGGTATCTGGGAAAAGAATAAAAATCACTCATAAATCCACTGTCCCCTCCCCCAACAAATACACACTACTATTAATTGCATGGGGTGAGGGGGGCTCCGTCAGTGGGGCCAGGCCCCTTCACACTGGACAGCCTCCACCCACACAGGAAGCCTCTCTGCCACTCCTGAAGCCAGGGATCCTCCTACTTCTATAACGGAAACTCCAAGTCGGGCCCCTTTGTGTGGTTGCACAGGTTGTGCATTACACAATTCTGGAGTGCACACTTCATAATGTTAATGATGACTCCTCCGGTTGTTCAGTGTGTGACTTATACAACCCTATCCAGCAGCCCTATAAGGGTCTCTGATAAAACTATGCCCATGTCTTGGAAAAAACCCATCCGCACAATTACTGCTTATAATTTCAGTGGATTTGGATTCAGACACAATCCTAGCAATGTCTCCCAGCCCTGAACTGGTCAAGCACTTCCAGGGATGGGTGCTCTCAATCTTCTGAAGTCCTTTCAGACAATGCTATGTGAGTAAGTTCTTCCTTAAGCACATTTGAAACCTTCCTCTTTTTAACCTCTATCCATTAAAGTTGATCTACTTCCTTTCCACATGATACTTTTGGCTACTGAAAGAAACAAAGAAACATGCCGCCATCCCCCACCCCGCCGCCCCCGTAGACTTCTGCTTTCTAGGCTAAATATACTCTTGCTTGGCTTAGCTTATTGCAAACATGCTATATCTTCTCTTTTGTTCAAAATGAATTTTTAAACTGTCCATCTTTTCACTAAGCACTTCCTGCCCTAATTAGCAACTAGGCATGCTGACATGTTAGCCAAGAACCAGAAAGCACCTCTCCAAGGTGCCCTTTTGGGAACCCTCTGAAGATCTCCATGCTTGCTCTAAAGCCACCAGATGCCCACAGAAGTCAGGAAACGTCAGGCTGGAAGAAGAGTCAGGCTTTTTCCAGGGGACAGGGCAAGGCCAATTGATCAGAGCTAGGACAGGGCCCACAGGCCAAGGGACACTAGTTCTCCACTTACTCCCAAAACTCCATGACCGGAGAGGTGGCATTCTGCAGAGATACATGGCTGTAGTTGCTCACATTCAGTTTCTGGAACTCCACACAATTTTCTACAGTGGAAACAAGACAAGAAATACAAGAAAATTAACTTCCTCGAGGGTTGAAGCTTAAAAAACATTCAGAGCTTATATGCAACCTAGCAGTTCCATCCGGCCGCCCCAGTAAACATGCCTCAAAGAACACTGTGGGGAGAATCAATACTTCACAAACAGGTAAAGGTCCTCTGTTGTAACTTTACAAACAGAGAGAGAGAGTTCTGATTAGAACAGAAGGAAAGGTTTTGGGGGCAGGGGACAGAGTGCCACTCTTTCCTGTTCCCACCCATGTGCCCTAACTCTCCCAGCCTTTGTCCCCAAACGTCTTTTCTTTTCTCCACTTCCCTGCCCCCGCCTGTCCACGGCTTTGTCTGCCATGCTCAGCGGCCCCAGGCAGACTAGAGGGACTAAAGGAATGGGCCAGTCATGGTGTCCCTAGGGCAGAAATGCAGTTGAGACTCGGTTTTCTTTTATGTAAAAAGGGGCTAATACCACGGCTGCCTCATAAAGGTGTGATGACTGGAGGAAATGGTGTGAACCCACATGGGTAACGAAGCCCTGGCTTCCTAGTCATTCCCCAGCTTGGTTTACTGAATGCCTCTTCTATTTTCATGAAACTTGATGACCAAGGGAGATTTGAATCTCAAATAGAAACATCCTTGTTTTCATCCTTCAAGGCCCAAAACAACCCATCAACCCCTCCTCCAGGGAGCCTTCCCTGATCTCCCTCCTTTGAATTCTACGAAAGCTAGACTTCAAAGCTCCTCCAAGGAATCACCTTCTCCAACTCCCTTTATTTTGAAGAGGAAGAATTTAGGGTTTTGAAATAGTTAAGGGACCCTCAACTTCCTCCTCTATAAAGACATCAGACAGCTAGGGACAGAATTAAGAATGAACTCCAGCCAGAGATCCATCTCCTTTGCCATGGTTACTGCCCGGCACTGTCCACCACCATGGGACTTGTGTTCCTCTGTTCACAGGGCCATCGGGGCCACCAGACTGTGGCCTCCCAAGGGCAGGGCCTCCTGCACCTGCTCACCTTAGAACGCCCTGCGCCCTGCACAGCGGCAGCACGGAGCTCGTGCCAGCTCCACTCTAGCGCGCCTTTCGTCTACAGACGTGCGAACCCTCCTGACGACGTCTGTGATCTCCGGGGGCAGGAATCACCTCTACAGCTGACGTTCACACACTGCAAGTGTTCACATCCCCTTTTGAGAGAAAGGGGACTGCAAACCCATGGAAAGAAGAGGTTTGCAGTCCACTGGGGAATTCCCCGGTTATCTGCCTCCTTCCTGCTGCTCCTGGCCAGTGCTAAGTACATTCCGAAAGGAGGTGCTCTGGGCGTCCACGGTCAGTCTTGAGAGGAGTCTGGAGATCTGAATTGTAATGTGCAAGCAAGATGTCTGGGTGTGCCATGCACCTTCTGCTGGGGAGAGGTGCCTTTAGCTTGTATCAGATTCTCTAAAATAGTATTTCTCAAATGTTTACCCCAGAGCAAAAACAATTCTTGGACACCCAAGGTTGAAAGTTATTTTTATTAAAATGATATTTAATCATATACAAGTAAACAATGAGTTATAAAATCTCTGTGATTATAGTATTCACATAAAAGCAAAATTAAATTTGTAAATTAAATACTAACTAAACTGCAAAACCAACACAATTCAAAGTGACAACCGAAAGTGGATGTGTGAAATAATGCCATTTGGTGAAACTGAACGGCAGGTAGGAGTCAGGGTCTGCTGAGTTCAGCTGGCTCACTCCTCCATGGGTGAGTTGAGATGCAATTCTACCACTCTGGTCACACTTCCACAAACCCTCCCTCCCTACAGTTTGTTGCATCCTCAACTGGACTTCACTTAGTAACAAAGCTCTACTTGTGAATTAAATCTCTCTGCTCTCTTTCTCATGGCTACCAGCATTCTTTTTTTACCACAAACACATCTTAAATTGCAAACATGCACAATGTCAGGGCCTGGAATCTCCTGACTGCCCTTAGTTACAAGGTGGTTGTGCAGACAATCCAGAATATGTACATATTTTTAGAGTATCTTCAAAATAAATACACACAATTAAATTAGCACAGAGGACTCACAGGCCTCCAAGAATATGTCCTTGAATTTTAGTTTGATAAACATTTCTATGAGGTCCCTGGCCAATGGAAGGTTAAGAACCAGGGCCCTAGAGAGAGAGAGAGAGATTTCCACAAAATGCTGCCGCTCCTTCTGTTGGTGACCCATATCCTGCCTGCTCTCACTGCATCCCAGTCTTTAGGACGGCAGGCCACTTTCAGATATAACCTACCCACAGGGTATCACACAGAGCGTGAACCACTTAAGTGTGTGTACCCATCCCACCCGAAAGGCAGTGCCGTCTGGAGCACGGCTGAGAGACATTCTGAGGCCAAGACTAGACTGAGCAGGAAAGAGTGCTTATAATCAATTAGTGGTATCTGCTGCAGGCACGGCTATCTTAGAAAGGAATTGCTTGGGCAGGTATTTGCCTTCCTTGGATTATAAAACTCAATTGTGATAAGAAGACAAATCAAAAAATGAATAATATTTCAGAATCAAAAGTAATCTAAAAGATTATCCATTCTAGGGGCAAGGAGGCTGAATTCACAGAGTTTATTGTGGTTGGGTTGGACAGGCACAGCAAATGAACAAAGTGAGCTGGGCAGTGACTGTGGCAACTCAAGGATAGATGTGTCACCCAAAAGCAATAGCAGCGTCTCAGCTGCAGCCTTTGCTGCCAAGCAGGACCGTGAGTCTGCTGTTGCCAGATCTTTCAATTTTTTAAGAGAAGCTGGAAATCTGGATTTTTCATATATTGCTTCTGATTTTTAAATTTTGGCAACCAAATACATTTTTTTTCTTTAGAGACAGGGTCTCACTCTGTCACCAAGGCTGGAGTGCAGTGGCATCATCATAGCTCACTGCAGCTTCAAACTCCTGGGCTCAAGCGATCCTCCCACCTCAGCCTCCCGAGTAGCTGGGACTACAGGTGCACACTACCACACCCGACTAATTTTTCTACTTTTTTGTAGAGATGGGGTCTTGCTATGTTGCTCAGGCTAGTCTGGAACTCCTGGCCTCAAATCATCCTCCTGTCTTGGCCTCCCAAGTAGCTAGGACTACAGGTGCATACCACCATGCTCAGATAACAAATACATTTTTTTTTAAATTTGTTGTTCATTGGTCTAAAGGCTACCTGGCCTATAAGTCTTCTGGTTGCAGCCCTTGATCTGGTCTAACCCCTTCATTTTACAGAGGAAAACCTGACACTCAGTGAGGCAGGGCTGGAATGGGAGCCCTAAGCCCCTGAATCTAAGTCTAGTGCCTTTTCCTCCTACTCCCACTCTGTCCCCAAGAGGCTCAGTCCCTGAATTTGAAAAAGAGAGGAAAGAATATCACTATTCTCCTAACCATGCCAATCCCTGGGCCGATGCTCAGCTCAGCCTTCAGGACTGCCACTCACAGAATGTACCAGACCAGGTACAGAGTTGACCCATTTCAGTGGGACCAGCCTAGAAAACTGGACTCATGATGAGAGGCCGGAGGCCAGGACTGGTCTCGAAGACAGAACACATCCCAGTCCCAGGCCCCTGCAGGACCAGCAGAGAGACCTTCTGTGGCGGCCATACCTGTGTTCCACTCATGCCCACAGGTGGCCCAGGGCAGCTCCGTGGTGAAGCAGTTGCACAGGTAAAAAATGGCCCATGCCAGGATGATGATGTAGTACACATTTAAATGGGCCTCAATCACCTGCGTTGCATAGCCAATGCCTGAAAGGACAAAGGAAAGTGAGCGATTTGAGTCCCTGTCTTTTCAAAACAGGCTTTAGCTAGCTACCTTTGCAGCTAGACATTCCCTGGGCAAAATTTTATTTTCTCACCAACTCAGTACATACCTTCAAATAAAGGGCAAACTTTCCTCCAACAGGTAATGCCACCTTCACTTGTGAATTGCCCCAGAGCTGTTTCCAAGAAAAAAACAGGAATTCCACAGCAAATAAAAAACACCACATAGGGAATCAGGAATGCCCCTGCAAGGATGCAAAGGAATGAGATTAAAACTGCCCCCACCATTTCATGTTTGGCACAAGAAATCTTTAATAAACATCTATTACAGGCACGATATAATGTCTCTGAGCTTGAATTCAAGTTCCCGCTATAAGGACAGCCGTCCTTAGAAAATGCAGCTAGGTTTGTGTTCTCTGCCACCTACCACCTTAAGTAAGTTTACCCCACATCTCCAAGCCTCAACTTCTTCGTCTGTATAACAGGGCTTTAGTCCTTATTGGCCGCAACACATCTCACAGAACTGTTGTACGGCTAAGATGATCATGTAAAAGAAAGCATTTTATTCGCTCAATTCCTTTACTTATCCTTTTCATCCTCAAGCACGGGTCCGATTCATTCCTTCCCTGAGTGTTGCAGCCTTCTTTTTCATTCTAAAGTAACCTCAAAGGCCAGGTGAGGGGGCCCCTTCTTATTGACTTTGGAAGTGTCCTGCACAAAATGTCTTCGATAAAGAAAAGCATTCTCGAGGAATTCTATGATGAGCAATATCAGGCCTCAGCCGAGCAGCCCTGCAGACGAGGCCAGGCCCGAGGCGCGCGGTGGGGAGTCTGCGGCAACAGCACGGGCAGCAAGGCTGGCTTCGAGTCCGCCTGGCAAAGACCACCCCAAGCCTGAGCGCTGCTGTCTTGAAACATAATAGCTACTGCCTGCACCCTTCTGTGAAACAAATTAAATAACTGACTTGAACATGAGTTATTACACCTAGAAGGGGATTTTTCCCAGATCCCTCATTCTCTCTCCCCCGTCTAGTAACGAAGCAAGAAAACACATGCTATTCGCCGCTATCTGATCTCGCAAAGGAAGCCTTTAACTGAAAGCACTTTTTGCTAAATGAAGTCTCTTTAACCACAAGGAGTAATAACAACAATTTCGATCAACCCTGATAGCAGGACCACATCTACCAGGTTCTGAAAGGGTCTAACTTTTCCGGGCAGGTGACTCATTTAAAGTTTTACGTTGGGCAAGAAGTACTTTAAACTATTGTTGGGATCTTTGAGTAGAGCAGCGTATTTTTTACAAGTTGAAAAGCAGATATTCCAATTGTATTGGAAGACAAACGTTTATAAAAGGGAATAGAGGCTCTGTTTACTGAATCTAAATCTAAGTGATGAAAACAAGCTTGTTTTAAAGTGGCAGGTCCTGTAATATTGATACGTCATTTGCCTGTGAACCCTTTAGAATCTAACAGATGACACTTTCTGACAGCCTTTTGGCCTGTGTGCTCACAAAGCCAGTAATCCCTGCGTAACTCAATCAGACCAGATCTGTGCATCCAATGGAAGCTCTTGAAAAGTTAGAGTAGGGAATAAAAACAAAAGAACCAATGACTCATTTTTAAAATTTTACTCACTACAACCGTTTTTTAAATCTGTGACAGAATTTGTAATTAACCCAATTTACCCTGTTTTCTGCTTTTAGGAATCTTTTTGTGTTGGCATAACAATTTCCTGTTTGAAAAAAGATGGTAAAACAATTTGTGCCTGGACTACCCCAAAGGGTTTCCAAGCGGACGCTGCAGCTCACAAAGGCTGAATCCGCAAAGAGAAGCGGGGTTCACCGCCGAGGGCACAGGGCATGTTTGGGGTCTCCAAGTCCACTCCCTCTCTCCCCCTTGCCAAGCCACCAACACCGGCGGCCACTTCATTACAGTGCAGAGCAGGCTTGGAGCAGCCTGTGCCTTAGGGATGAATGTCCCCAAAGAATGGGCCCGGGCCAAGCAGTGCCCTTCTCGCTCCCCAGCGGCTGCTGGCTCAGGAAGCCCTCTCTGCACAGCCTCGCAGAGTGGCCCCGCCAGCCAGCTTCCGAGCCACCTTCTTTGGGCTTGGGAAACTTGCAGGAGGGGCAGGGGCGCAGCAAGGAGAGGGAAGAACGCACAGGCATGGGCTTTCCTTGGAGAAACGGTGCCACCGAAGGTTCACAAGATCCCTGGCCACGGACCTGCTGATATGACAGGAGGGTCCTGAAGGCTGGAGCCCCTTCCCTGAGCTGGAAGAGCTGTGATCCACTGATGTATCTTCTGCCAAACTAACTTTGAGATGTTGTCACTAGAAGTGACACTGTCATCACCTTCCTTTCTCTCCCCCTTCCACATCACCAAGCATCTCACAAATCTTAAGTCAGTGTCATTGCTTCCTTTGTGGGGACTCTGAGACCAGTAAAAGAAACTGCTTGGTGCCAATTCTTCCACCAGAGGGGTCCAAAAATATTAGCTCTAGAAATAGCCTTAAGAGCAAATGAAAGACTAGGCAGGAAAGCAAACAGCAATGCCTCACCTGAAAGTTCTCCCTGTTGTTAGTCCCATCCCAGTTTAAAGCGAGGCCTGTGATGACAGATCCACATCTTTATTTCTGGCTAAGTGAGTGACTTCTCTGACCCTTAGTTTCCTCATCTGCAAAATGGGTATACTGCTGCCTACTCAGGTGACGGTGAGGATGAAATGAGATGATATAGGCAAAGCTTAGCATGGTGGCCGGCATTTCAGTAAGCGCTCAAAAACTGGGACCACTCAGATAATTCTCAGGCCCTTTCTCTCAGGCCATCTCCACTTCGCAAAGCCGAGGCTCCAAGGGGCTAGCGTCTGCTGCCCAAACACCACTGCGGTGCTTTGCAGAGCCAACAGCAAGGGCTCCTGGGCTCGGTCGGCACCTCGTGCTATAGACAGAACGTTCCCAGCGGTCAACCTGCGTTCTGGCAGGTGGCACACTCAGGTGCGAAGCGGCACGTGCGCATGCGCACTGGTACAGGCGGGCCAAGCTCTGTGGTGAGTTCACAAACCAGGTGGCCGGTGGTCAAGGTTCTCCGCGCGGGTCCCGCTTCACGCAGGCGCGGACGGGGGTCTCGCGCTCGCCCCCTGGCTCCCAGCCCCCCCCCCAGTCTCCTCCCTGTCGCATGCCGCCTCACCTCCTCCATTCTTGTAGCACAGGTAGGGGAAGCGCCACACGTTGCCCAGCCCAACGATCTCCCCGGCCACGCTCAGCACGAACTCCACCTTGTTGTTCCAGTGGCCACGCTCGTGGACCGCCTTGTCGCGCTTGTCGCGCGGGTCGCGCGCGGGCACCGCGTCCCCGCCGCCGCCACTGCCGCCGCCGCCACCCGGCGCCTCGGACTCCCGCGCCTCCTCGGCAGCCTTCCCATTGCCCAGGGGCAGCGCCTCCTCCGCCGTCATGGCCGCGCTGCCTGCCTCGTGCGCCGCCCGGCTCTGCGCCGCCGCCCCGGGCGGGCTGGCTTTTCAGGAGGCGCGAGCGGGCGGGAGGGGGAGCCAGGGGGTGGAGCGAGGGACCAGGCCGGGCCAGCGCGGAGTCTGGGACTGGGACTGGGACGCGGCGCGCCGGCCCGGCCCTCAGGGCGCCCACGCCGCCCCAGCCCGGCGGCCCGGGAGCGCCGAGCTCCTTGCGCGCGCCGAGCACCTTGCGCGCGCCGAGCACCTTGCGCGCGCCGAGCACCTTGCGCGCGCCGAGCACCTTGCGCGCGCCGAGCACCGTTGCGCGCGCCGAGCACCTTGCGCGCGCCGAGCACCTTGCGCGCGCCGAGCACCTTGCGCGCGCCGAGCACCTTGCGCGCGCCATCCTTCCCACAGCCCTACCTACTGGCCTGTTAGGACAAGAGTGGAATTCAGGCCTTAGGTGGGCTCTAGTCACCAATTTGGGTCTGCCACTCTCCATGACCTTCAAACGTTTGGGCCTCGCTGTCCCCTCTCTAGTAGGAGGAGTGGACTCTAGACGAGGCTTCTGTAACTTCAACGTGCACACCAGGCACCTGCGGGTCTCCTTTAAACTGCAGAGCCTGGTCTAGTAGGTCTGGGTGAGCTGGGGAGTCTGCCTTTCTAACAGGCTCCCAAGTGATGCCGTTACTGAGGTCCGGGGACTGCACTATAGCAAACTCAGTGACCCTTGGCTCCTTCCCAGCCCCCTAACACCCTGCAGGTCTTGTCCATGCTGGTGTCCACTGCTTTAAACAGTGTGGCAGTTAAGTGCTTGTGCCTGGAGACAGATAATCTAAGTCAAATCCTGTGCTTCACCTGTCTTAGTTGTGTGACTTTGGCCAGTCATCGGACCGCTCTGTGCCTCAGTTTCCTGATCTGGAAAAGGAAATACCAATAGTGTCTTTCTCTTAAGTTTTTTGAGGGGTGGGTTTTGGTGAAAGGTTAATAAGTAAATGCTTATGAAGTACTTAGTACACTGGAAGTGCTCAATGAACATTAGCCATTATTAGTATTATCATATAATATGTAGACATATTTGTGCATCTTCTTGCTTAATATTTGTCTCCCTACTCAATTGTAAGAGTGATAAACACTGTCCTGTTCATTATACTAGCCACAGAGCCTAGCACAAGAATTGTCACATCATATGTGCTCAGTAAATATTTGTGGCCAGAGAGGAAGGGAGGGAAGAAGGAAGGAAGAAGAAAAGGAGAAGAAGGAAGGACTGTTGGAGCTGCAGGGGCCCACAGTGATGTCACTGCACAGGCCTGCAGAAGCCCAGTTGTAGGCCCTGCATCTGTCCCTGGGAGGTCCCTCTGGGGCTGTCTGGGACAAGCTCCTTGTCTTGTAGTCTTCAAACTCCTGCCTTCAGCTTCTTTCCTTCTTGCTCACAACTGCTCAAGTCTCTCCACACCTCCATCCTCCCAGAAAACCCTTTCTTCCACCATCTTCCATTTACCCTCCCCCTCACTATCATATTTCTTGAAAGAGTAAGTTGGCGTGCTGCCAGCCCTGTCTTCACCTCCCACGCATTCCTCAGCCCACGGCAATCTGGTGCCCGCCCCCACCACTCCTCTGAAAATGCTGTCTGTGAAGTTCCTGACACCCTCTGATTTGGGCAGATCCTACCGCTCCTTTCCCAGCCCCGTCCTGCCTGGCCTCTAGGTTAACTGTCAGCACCGATATTCCCTCCCTCCTTCTTATGGTTCCTACTGGCCTGGCGTGGTTTCCTGACGTTGCCTGCCTCTGCTGCTGTTCTTCGCCTTGCTCCTCTGCTTCTCCTTTCTCTCCCTTTAAGTTTGGCCTTTTTCAGACCTTGAGCCACCCAACTAAATGCTGATGCCTCCCAAACCTATCTCCCCCCATGACGCCCAGGTTATGTTTGAAAGCAAAGACCCTGCAGAGTGTTCAGGGTGAGAGTAGGCTGAGTTCAGATCGATGTGGTTTTACATCCAGCTCTGCCCCTTAGAAGCTCTGTTAGTTCTTGGCCTCAGGCTCCTTCTCTGTCCGGTGGGTTCTGGCCTCACAGAGTGGGTGTGAGGGTTAAAAGCCTCAGCAGGTGCTCTGCAAACAGTAGCTTTCATTTTTATCATGAGGAGGAGGAGGATGGCGATGTCCTTCCCTTGCTTAAAAGCCTCTATCAGACTTTTTTCCTACAAGATAAACCAAATTGCTAACCTGGCATTCAAAATTCCCTCGCAATCTGATTGTCCCGCCCTTTTCTTCCAGCTTCATGTCATTTTGCTCCCATGCTAAAATATGCACGTTTTCATTTTCTTTTGGTTGATCCCTGATGCTGCATATAGAATGGGCAATAAAGGAAGGAATTCATCTTTGACCTTGATAGTCCTTGCACACAATAGGCATATAGTAGCTAGGAGTCAATTTATTAAATGAACAACTACATCAAAAGTTAGATGTATTCCTGAATCTTACTACTGCAGTATTAGGCAATCATCCCAGACTCTGTAAACTGCCTTCAAGGCTGATTACATCTGCGCTTCGTGCTGGTGCTCAGCATCATCAGCTCCAGGAATTGACTTCCTCTGCGCAGCTGTGATTCTACCAGACACTCTAGGGAAGTGACACTGAACCAATGTGAGAGGGCTGGGGCTGGCCATAGTCTGGTCTGGGACCCAGTCTGAGTTCTGCTGATGAGTAGCTCTGTGGTCTTGGGTGCATCACCCAATCTCTCTGAGCTTTGGTGTTCTCATATCATTGAAACGAGTAGGATTATTCCCATATCCCAATGAGGTCTTCAGGGTGAGATGAGACCACATGCAGGGAAGAACACTGTACAAATGCTGATGTTACATCTCCTCCTTCATCTCAGGGCCTCATCTCTGGACCGTTTCCACCTTATCATTTCTCTGTTGAGCTGCAGTGGCCTAAAGAGCACACGCCCCGTGTCAACAGGCTGGATGGACTTGGGTTGGGGCGCAGATGGACACACTTCTCATCTCCAGAGCTGCCCCTGGTGCAGCACAGCAGGATGAGTAAGAACGTCACCCTGCTTGGTTTCAATGCCAGCTCCAAATGACCTTAGCAAACGACTTCATGTGCCTTAGTCTCAGTTTCCTTATCTGGAAAATGGAGGTACTAATAATATCTATCTTTTAAATGTTATGGGGATTAAGTGGGTTAGTATTTGTACAGCACTTGGATTTGTGCCTGACAGGGACATTTTTGTTAAATAAATATATTCACATGTCTTCAGAGAACAGAAATGCCATGCCTCCCTTATTCCTTCCTTGGAGCAAGCATTCAAAGTCTTTTATCTCCTGGAAATAGCAGTTTCTGTCCTGAAGGCTCATTTAAATGTCAGCCTTGCTCATTGATTCATTCACCAAATACTTGTGGCTGTTCAATTATTTTCCAGACGTGACGCTGGTCACTAGGGAGCAATACCAGATACAAGGTAGGCCCCAGTGGCATGCCGGAGTTGGCTCGCCAACTGTTACATCTCTAGGCAGTTGCTGGTGTCTTGACATCTGCAATGGTGGTTGCATTTACACCACGGGAAACTGCCAACACTGCAGATCAGCCCCGCCCTCACTGCCAGTGTGCCAGCTCGCCATCACAGCATGGTGAGGGAGGCAGATATTAATCAAGCAATTGCAGAAATGAGTGGAAAGTCAGAGGTCCTGGGAGATGTGCAAAGGAATGGTCTGTGGTGCTGGGAGAGCTTGAACTGAGCAGCCTGACCTTGCCAAGGAGATCAGAGAGGGCTCCCTGAGCAAGTGACAAATGGGCAGAAGCCTAAAGGGAGAAGAACAGTGAACTGGATGGGGAGCAGGTGGACCCTGGAGGGTGCTCGCCAGGGTTGAGGCTGGACCACATGGGTAGAAGGAGATGTGCCTGAAGGTGAAGTGTTTTTAGCAGTGGGTGAAATGAGAGCACATTCTCACTGTGAAAAGATGACTGTTGCCACAGTGTGAAAAGTAGCTTACAGGATGGGGTTGGAGGAGTGGTGAAAGGCTACTGAAGTGGTCTAAGCAAGAGATGACAGCAGCTGAGACTAGGAAGACAGGAGTGATATTGAAGGGATGAAATCCGCAGGACTTGACGTAGGACTGGATGTGAGGGTGAGGAAGGGCAGGTGGCAAGTTTATCTCCTGGGTTGGTAGAAGGACAGCGTCCCATTGAGAGGGTGATAGTTCTGCTTGACTTTGTGTCAAGATGCCCACAGCTGCCTCACTTAGGGTGTGATAAACCAGAGCCACCGGGCCAGGGGACTGTCCCCAAATGTGCGAATGGTTGCTGAACCAAAACCTGCATGGCAGAACCAGGCTCAAATAGAGGAAGCAGAAAGGAGTTACGTGCCGGGAAGAATTTCCTACAGGCATTCAGTAACAGAATACTCTGCCCCAGCCACGGTGAGCCCCATGAGAGGGTCGAAGTAGAAGCTGGACTGTCGTAGCACAAGGCGAATACCACAAGGGCACTTCCCGATCATGAGAGCCTGAGTCTGCAATTTGCTGTAAAAACCTTACCTTGTCACTACCTCAATCCTATTTTCTAGTCGGTTTACATAAAGAGCCCTCATTCCCACCTCCCGATCCACACCATGAGCCCCGGAGCTCTGCAGGGCTCTCCCAGCACTAAGGCTAGCCACGTGTCTTGTGTTGGCCCTGGAGTGGGAGAGAGTGGTGAAGCGCCAGTTCCAGGCCTTCCTCCCCACTTCCGCCAGCACCACAGGAAGGGTGTTCCCAGGTCAGTCTGCTGGTCCAGGGCGAGACTTAGATGCACACAGGCAGAACTGCCCCAGCTGAGGTGCCCCAGAAAACCTGGACTAAACCACACCAGCCCACTGGAGACGTGAGCAGGCCCAGCCCACATGGCCCAGCTCCCAGCCTTGTGCCTTAAAAGCTGGGACAGTAAGTGTCTGCAGCCTTACGCCACCGAGCCTTGGCCTTTGCTCATGTCCTCCCCCTTTCTGATGCTCCCGTTTGCTTGCCAGACAGCGCTGGCGTAGCCAGCGGAAAGCTCCTTCCTGCGTGCTAACGCGACTCCTCTGCCCTCTC